ATTTCCTGACTGCTGCGTTGTTCGAGAGTTGGGCAATAGGAGCCGCCTGCCTCCGTCCACGAACACTTGCCCTGGTCCAGGCTGCGCAACATCTAGCAGAGAGCGGTATCGACAGCATCTGCCAGCCGAGGCTCGAGCTCCATGCACACAAGACCACTCCGAGCGCGGCACCCTGAACGAACGCGATCAACACCATCGTCTGTACATCTCTGGGCGTATCCGGCCTCCAGAAAGTGCCTGTCAGCCGCCATGCTTCTCTGGCTTCTACAATCCTGTTTCTCACTGTTCCTACCAGGTTTCCAGTCGTGTGTGGATGAGGCCCCAGGACGCGTAGTTGACTGCCTTTTTTCTCACCAGCTTACGTACTCGTCTCGAGTCGCAATTGTCTCGGCATCGCTTGCCACCTGCCCCTATCTGACTGAGCATCTGCCCCGTTTTTCCAGGATTCAGGACCTAGCTACCCCCATATTGTAAATTTCCCAGCTGTTGCATCAGAAGTTTAAGTTCCGACTTCACCCCGTAGCTAGTTCACCCCCGTGCAGAGTGCTTGGCAGCATCGCCCATAAAAGAACACACAGACAAATTCACATACTGCTTGGACACTGGGCATAGAGCTTTAAGCAGACGGTTTGCATGTTTCTGGTCTTCTGCAAACCACTCGTACAATAGTGGCTTGTAGCAGTCGTTAAAGCCCCTCGGCGCATAACAAACACCCACTTCGGCACCTGTGGTACTGATCAAGTCCACCCTCCCACCATTCCCTGAGATGCTCATGGAATGATGCTGTACACCACCTACGGCAAACATCCCGTCGCAAGGGCAACACTGTCTCGCCACCGTAGCCTCGAGCACGTCACGTCATGTGCAAGCGAAAGCGTTGCAGCAATCGAAGTTCGGTGCCACATGTGATAGTCGTGCCTGCCTGCACCTCCGCTGCGCCGCTTGAAAACTGACGCATGCGTTTTCCCTCGATCGGAACTTCAGGGCGAAGAGGAGGAGCAGGCGGCGAAGGAGAAAGGAGGAGGAGGACAAGAGGAGCAGGAGAAGGAGAGGAAGGAGAAGGAGAACAAGGAGAAAAAGGAGGGAGGGAGAGGAGGAGGAGGAGGGAAGGAGGAGGAGGCGGAAGAGGAGGAACAGGAGGAGGGAGGAGGAGCAGGAGGAGCAGGAGGAGGAAGAGGAGGAGGAAGAGGAGGAGGAGGAGGAGGAGGGGCAGGAGGAGGGAGGAGGAGGAGGAAGAGGAGGGAGGATGAGGAGGAGAAAGAGGAGGAGGAGAAAGTGGAGGAGGAGGGAGGAGGAGGAGGGAGAAGGATGAGGATGAGGATGAAGATGAGGATCAGGAGGAGGAGGAGGAGGAGGAGGAGGAGGAGGACGGAGAGGAGGAGGGGGAGAGGGAGGAGGAGGCAGAGGAAAAGGATGTCGGGGGGTGGAGCACCGTACAGCCCAGACATCCCCGCGTCGTGAGAAAATCACGAGTCATGTTTCGGCCCCGTGGGGGCCCGCAGGGGTCCGGGACCTTCAAACAACAGAAGAGGATGAAGAGCTGGTCCAAGGGAAGGGTTCCAGACCTCCGAGGGGTCCATGCTGAGACAGAATCGCGGTACCGGGGGTCTGGGTGGGGATCGCGGGGGAGGGAGAGGAGGGGTGGGTGACGCGGAGGAGCGGGGCGAAGGGGGAGCGGGGGAGGCGAAACAGACATAGAGTGCGGGGGGGGTGCGGGGCGGAGCGGGAGGGTGAGGGCGAAAGGGAGGGAGAAGGGGGGAGGGATGATGGTGGGTGATAGGGCGTGCTGAGAAGGGGGGAGGGGGGAGGCGAGGATGATGATGAGGATGAAAATGAAGATGCGGGTGAGGATGCTGACGAAGACGATTATGGCGACGACGATGATGATGATGGTGATGGTGATGAGGATGGGGATGAAGATGAGGGTGATGATGAGGATGAGGACGATGATGATGCTGAGGATAATGACGATGATGCTGATGATGATGCCGATGCTGATGAATATGATTATGTTGTTGTTTATGATGGTGGTGATGATGATGTTGCGGTGGAGGAAGAGGAGGTGGAGGCAGAATAGTGCAAGTACTTACGACGACGCAGACGGGGAAGTGTTGCGTGAGAGTGGCAGGAGTACGAGGGGGAAAGAACGCGCGAAGCACGCCACAACGAACGAGGTCAGGGAAGAGGGCGGTCGAAGGGGGGGGCAGGAAGGCATGGACGGCCACGATGATGAGAATGATGAGGAGGAGGAGGAGAAAAGAAGGGCGGAGGAGGAGGAGGGCGGAGGAGGGAGGAGAGGAGGAGGAGGAGGAGGAGGAGGAGGAGGAAGAGGAGGAGGAGGAGGATAATAATAACTAGGAGGAGGAGGAGGAGGAGGAGGAGGAGGAGGAGGAGGAGGAGGGAGAGGGGGAGGGAGGGAGGGAGGGAGGGAGGGAGGTGGTGGTGGTGGTGGGCTTGGGTAAGCAATCTGGTGAGGCCGCGGGCACTGCCTCTTTAGCGGCACCTCCCACTCAGGGATGGCTGGGGGACAGCTCACCACCTGTCGCGGGGGTCTAGTACCGCAACGCCACGGCGCCACTTGGTCCGAGAGACTCCCAGGGGCGCCTCCCCTGGGGCACCCTCCCCGCCCCACCTCGACCACAGGAAGGCCCAGCAATACCAGCCCCCAAACACCTGGGAGCGGGATATCCCAGAACAGGAGGGCGCTACAGCTGGGGTCCCGACCCAGGACGAGGGGGACAAGGGGATCCATCCAGGGCAGCCCTGGTGGCCACCCGTGCCGGGCGGAACCTGTGCCGCAGATGGGGATGGACAGCGCGAGAGCTCCCGCTCACCTCCGCTGGGGCCTCGCCCGTCCTAGCACATCCCGGATGCCACCGCAGGGCGCAGCTGCGAGGCGATGAGAGATGACTGGAGGAGGCCCTCCCCGAGTGGGTGCCCCCCGCCACCACCCCGGCTCGGCATCGGGACGCGGCCCGGCCTGCGGGGAGAGACAGGGGGGGAGAAAGAGCCCCCTCGCCCACCCCGAACACCACCGGCCCCCAGGGGGGCCCCAAGCCAGGAAACGAAGCGAGGCCACCGCAGCAACAAAACAGAAAGCCCCAGGAACCCCAGAGGAGCACACCCCGAAAACCACAGGCCCTCACGGGGACCCTCGCCAGGAAACGAGGCGAGGCCACCGAGACAGAAACCATAGCCCCGGGAACCCCAGAGGGCGGAGGAGGAGGGGAGGGAGCACAGAGCGGAGGCCCCCCCCGATCCCCGGAGAAGCCCCGGAACGCCCAGGCGGGAGTGTGTCCGCACACCGCAGATGCGGACTCAATCCCGCCCAGGGTTTGGGCACTTCTCCGGCAGCTGGGGAGCCACGCTGCGACTCCTCCTTGGGAGCGGCGCCCGCACGCGCTCAATCTCGCCGTACCCAGAACCGCCGCTGCTGCTTGTCCACGCCCGCCGCGAGTGCGACCGCCTCCGCGTGACCAGCCTCCCCCGGCCTGGCAGACAGCAGCGCGCGCGCACAAGCCTCCTGCGAGATCGGCTGGGGCTGCGCCCGTGCCGTCCAGAAGGCAGCCCGGCCTTCTGCGGTACCCGGGCAGCCGCTGCACACATGGAACGACAAACTGCGCTGCCGCGAACCACACAGCACGCAGCTCTGCACGGCAGCCCACGACCTGCGCCCGCCCACGTGCCCCAGGATGAAGAGGCCAGCCCTCCAGCGGCTGAGGGACCGCATGCCCTGCAGAACGTCCCAGCTGCACGCGCCCTGGAGAGCTATCGCCAGATCCCGCACCGGGCCCTCGCACAGGGAAAGCAAAGGGACAGGACGGTCATGGACCCTCGCCCTGAGCTGCCACTCCCCCCTGCACTTGCGAGCAACCTGCTGCTGCACAGCCGCGACATACGCCTCGCGCTGCCCCCCCGGGTGAGCCTGGGACCAGACCGGCCAATCCTGCACGCCCCAAGCCGCTATCAGCCTCTGGGACTGACTTGCCCAGGACAGTTCCCAGGTAGCGTAGGCCGCCAGGAAGACCTTTCGGTATAAGTCGTCCTCCGGGAGGGCCCAAAGCCCTGCACGGCGGCGCGCCACATCGATCACGCCCCGGCCCGCGCCCGATAGGACCCAGCCCAGCTCCGCCTCCGCCACCGTCGAGGCTCGCCAAGGGGGGGCCCCCAGGAGAGCCCGCGCCCAGCCGCGATACGCGTCGTCCGCGGCCTCCGCGCTGCCTTCCGCAACGGCCCACAGCCAGCGCCCGAAGCGGAGGCCCCCTTCGATCTTCATGTCGAAGATGCTCCCTGCCACTGCCAGGGTAACGTCGCCACTGGCCACTTGACCAGCAAGGGAGGCGACCTGGGCTGCCGCTGCTGCCGGGCGCGCACGACACATAGCCCGCAAATCTAAATCGCCCCGCCACTGAAGGCCCAGCCACTTGTGCACCTGGACCACCCCCAGCTGCACAGGCTCTGCCCCCCGGAAGCGGAGCTCAAGCGGCCGCGCTGCCTGGGCGGCCTGCCGGGCCCCGGGTGCACCCGACACCAGCACTGCATGCTTGGAGGCCTTCGTGTGGGGGCTGGCCTTCTCTGCAAAGGCCCACCCGGCCATCACTTCCACCGCCGCCTGCGCCGAGCCGCGCGAGGAGCCCAGCAGGACGGGGTCCTCTGCGTGCAGGATGGCAGCCAGCCGCGGAGGAGGGAGGGAGGGAGGGAGGGAGGGAGGGAGGGAGGAGGAGGAGGAAGAGGAGGAGGAGGATGAGGAGGAGGAGGAGGAGGAGGAGGAGGAGGAGCATGAGGATGAGGAGGGAGAAGGAGGGAGGAGGAGGAGGAGGAGGAGGAGGAGGAGGAGGAGGAGGGAGGGAGGAGGAGGAGGAGGAGGAGGAGGAGGAGGAGGAGGGAGGAGGAAAGAGGGCGGATCCATTCCCTTCCACTTCTCTTCTGCCCCTGAGGGGGGAGGGGCGGTGGCGTGGCCCTTCCCCCCCCCCCACACAGCGGGCGGCGGCCACCGACGCCTAGCGCCGCGGGGGGCGTGATCTCGAACTCCAGGTCGCACTCCTCGGGGCTCTGAGCAGGGACCGACCGTCCCTGGATTAGAATAAAAAGAAAAGGATAATAATAACATGTAAGGATCCGAATAGTAATGACAATATTAACAAGATGAATAATACGTTCAATAGACAAGGAAAACCAATAATAACAAATAACGATGGCAACAACAATAATATTAATCATTCGAATACTCCTTCTACGAATGATACACAAAAGAAGAACAGAAATACGAAAGAAACCTGCGTAAAGATAACTTTGGCGTTTCGCGCGGATTTCTTCAGGGTCGGCGCCGGAGGCGCCCCCCGGGAGGCCCAGGCGCGGATCCGAGAAATCCAAGCGGAGCGCCACAAGTGTATGTTCATGGCGTTTTTCTTCTTCGAAGCAGTCCCGTGGGCCTACAGCGAGGTCTTCTTAGAACCAACAAGAATTCCGAATAACAAAGCAGCGCTCTACGATAATGAAGCCGATCTGCTGAAAAACAAAGCGGTGTCGGCCAGTGGTGCTCGGAGAGAACATGCCGTGCAGACCCCAAGTGGTTCCCAGGACCTTCTTTGGTCTGGCCTACAGGCGGCGTCGGCAAGTAGCACTCGGCCAGTAGTGCTCGGAGAACACGTCGTGCAAACCTAGATGCCTCCTAAATGGGGCCGGAGTAGATGGGGTCGGAAGATCGCGCCGCATCGCCGATACATCGGCGATACATCGCCGATGCATCGGCGGTGCATCGGCGACGCACCAGCGATGCATCGTCGACGTCGACGATGCATCGACGTGAAGCAGATCGGGCTCTACATCGAGCCGAATCGCCGATGCATCGGCGATGCGGCGCGATCCCCCGACCCTATCTGCCTCTACCCCATCCAGGAGACCTAGAAAACCACAAGAAGCTCCTCGAACCTTCTTTGGTGGGCCTACATTTAGGTTGGGCGCGTCACCCTACAGGCGGATTTCGGAGGATAAAATAAAATACACACAAAATGCCCCCAAAATGCTCAAACTGTTTTTGAATCTCCTCCCTGTATAGGGACAGGCCCGACTCAAATCTAAGAGGACTAGAAAGCCACAAGAGGCTGCTAGCATCTTCTCCGGTGGGCCTGCACGCGACCCAGGACGCGTCGCCCACTGCTCGCGCGCGGGGCGCGGGGGGGAGGGGCGACGGGCTGCTGCGGCCCTCCGGCGGGCGGGCCCGGCGAAGGGCACCGCGGGCGACGCCGACGGCGACGACGGCGACGGCCGCGCGCCCCGACTTGGGCGGGCGGGCCGCGGCGGTGGCTCGCCCAGGACGGCCGGCTCCCTCGTTGGCTACTTGGATCGCGGCGGGGGTTGCAAAGAGGATAGGGGGATACAGGTGGATGCTAAGGTGGGTTCTAGCCTAACCCAGCTTAGAAGTGGGTTGCCCGTGCCCCGAGTGGCGTAAGGGCGTACAGATCTGGGCGAAGTGGGCGGAGTCCACTTAGCGGAGTTACCTCACCATCCTAAGCCACATAGGGCACTTGCAACCCACTTATAACGCGGGTTAGGCAACATAAGACCCACTTCTGCATCCACTTCTTTACTTAGCAACCACCGCGGCGATTCAAGTACACGCAGGAGTGACACTGGGTAAGAGTGACCTTTGGTGCGCGGCTCATCGGGGGACGCCGAGCGGAGTCACCAAAAAAGGACCACGAACCCTTTGGGAGGGCCAAACGCATTCGGGAATAGAGGGCCTTTTCTGCAGATGTAGCGAGTCAAACCGTCCAGATGTTTTTTAACCCGGGGACCTCAGTGAGGCCACGTCTTCATGATGTGATTAGGCTTAGGGGCTCTTGTGTGTTCTCGAGGAGTGGTGGCCAAACCCAGGCGCGCAAGACGCTGCTACCGCTTCGCGCTCAGCGATCTCGGGGGACCCCCTTGGGCCCGCACCAGAGGTCACTCCAGCGAACGGACACTCTTACATCTAGTCGATTTCGGGGTGGCGATTCGAGCTGACCTCCCGATCCGGTGCTGACGAATCCTGTCTTCTCGAGACGGTCCTGGGCACCCGGGCTTCCGGAGAAGGCAGAAGGTGCGGGACCATCGTCGCCTGGCTCTTGGTCCACTGCGTCGCTGCCAATTAATTATGTATCGCCATCGCTCGGGAGTCCATTCTCTGGGCATTTTTCGGCTTCGTGCGATTATTGTCCGCAAGATGGTCCAAGATGCTCCTTGATGGTCCTCGCCAGGAAAAAAGGCACACACGTCCGAGCGATGCCAAGATGTTGGCCAAATGTCGCTTTTGGGCCCTCGGCTGTTTTCGTGTTGGGCGTCGGCATGGAGGTTCGCCTGTCGCAGCCTGGCTGCTTAAACCACGGAAGCCAAAAGGGACCGATACCGCTACTTCCCGGACCTCTCCCAGGGTGCGTTCCGACGATGATCTCGAGGCGAATCTAACGTTGGCGACGAGGGCCTCCCAGGAGGCCCACAAAGAGGAGAACGGGCGAAGGGTAGCGGATGGGTACCTTTCCCAGACCCCCGACGTCATGATTTTTCATAACGTCGACCCCAGGAGCCTCGACCCATTCCCCGGGACCGGTTTCTCATCCTGAGTCGTTTTTTGACGGTCCCGAGGCCCGGCGGGGGCCCCCAGATGCCGAACATGGCAAAAAACCTCCCGGCCCCGTCAAGGAACGGCCAGGCCTCGGGACCGTCAAGAAATGACCCAGGATGAGAAGCCGGTCCCGAGGAATGGGTCGAGACCTCTGGGGGTCGACGTGCTGAAAAATCCTGACGTCGGGGGTCTGGGTCGCGAGCCAGGCTGGGGAAGCTTGCTGGGCGTGGCGCCCGCCGGAGGGGGCGATCTGCAGCACGGGCCCAGGGATGAGAGCAGAGGTACAAAGAAGGCCTTAGCATCAACATTTGACGGTCCGAGCGGATTTCTTGGATCTGCGCGGGCCAGAAGTTTATGTTTATGCTGATCTTTGATCTTCGGGATCAACGAATACGTTTCACTACTCGCACAGTAACTACTCGCAAATGGCCTGGATCCGCCGCGGTGGGCTCACGATCCATGACACAGAGGCGGACATCCGGCCCGCGCGCGGGGCGGTGGAGCGGCCGCCAAAGCGCCAGGGGTGCTCCACGCGTGGGGGGGGCCGCGCCGCGAGGTGCCGCGGGAGACGGCCCCGAGAGGGCCCCGAGTACAATCAGCCCGTGTCACAAGGATGCTCGGCTTACGCGCTCCTCCTGCTTCTCCTCCTGCTCCTCCTCCTCCTCGTCCTGGTGCGTTGTGCGTACTCCTGGGGCGTCTTCGCGGGCCCTTCGCCTCCTCCCCCCCCCCTGGTGCGAGGCAGCTCCTGGGACGTTTTCGCGTGCTCCTGAAACGTTTTTCTCGCGGGCGCGATGGAGATCTTACGCGTTCGATCATGGACCCCTCGGCACGCATCTTGGTCCCTGAAGACCGCCAAGAAACCGCCGAAAATTGCCAGCGGGCGCGCGCCCCGCCGCGGGCATTGGGGTCCGACACGGTCTTCGGCGGTCTTCGGCGGTCTTCGGCGGTCTTCGGAGGTCTTTCTATACGGATTTCGGTGGTCCTTCGGCGGTCTTCGGCGGTCTGGACGGCGGCCCGACACGGTCTTCGGCGGTCATCGGTGTGACAGCAGGACACTTCGCGTCAACAAGGGGTCAATGATCGAACGCGCAATGTTCGGTAAGGATGCAAGGGCCTTGGAGGCCCATCTTTATGTGTTTTTTTGCCGAAGGATGTTGGCCAACGAAAGTCGCTAAGGATGGGCCGAAGGGCAAGGATGCAAGGGTACCCTCGGGAAGGCTGCTCAGCCTTACTGTGCGGGTTGACTGTGGGGATAACTCGAGCCGGCATTGACCTCGAGCTGGTCTTTCGCGCGCCCTTCGACCCGAGATGGCCCCCGAGGCGGCCACCAGACGCCCAAGAGGGCCCCCCCGAGGCGGCCACCAGAAGCTCCGAGAGGGCCCCTGGAGGCCAACCTCGGGCCCCGAGAAGCGCCCAAGACGCCTCCCAAGCGGCCCTCGCTGGAGATGCCCCAGGTCACACCCAGAGCCTCCTCCAAGAGGCTCCCGAAGGGCCTCCTCCCCAAAGCTCCCCACTGGCATTCGTGTGGCCCCTTACCTGCAACCCAGGCGCGGTGGCGGGATGGACCGAAAGCCACTCTCTCTCTCTGTATATGAGAGAGAGGACATAGCAACGATAAGAGAACACGTTTTAGAAAGAGAGAGGGAGAGAGACAACAAAAAACGAGAGCGAGAGCGATACACACATATATATAGAGAGAGAGAGAGAGAGAGAAAGAAGGAACGACAAGAGAGACAAGCACACTGTGTAAATGAATGCATGTACGTAGCGAGAGCGCAAGGAAACCCACAAAGAGACAGGGACATTAAAGCGGCACGGTAAAACAAGGAGAGAAAGAGAGAGAGAGAGACACGCACACACACACAGATGGCCAGAAAGAGAGAGAGAGAGAGAGAGTCATACAAGGAGTTAGTATAATGTGAAGGCCCATAGCGAAGCATAGCGAGAGAGAGAGAGAGGGAACATGATGAGGAGGGAGAGAGAGAGATACACATAGAGACCACACAGTATGAGGTAGCGAGAGCCACACAGATAAAGAGAGAGAGAGGGAGACGCACTGACGAGAGAGGGAGATAAGCATATATACATAGATATGGACCTATGTAAAGGGCGAGAGATGGGGCATATAGACACATACGTATACGTATATCGTGATACACAGAGGTAAGCAGAGAGACTGAGAGAGAAAGAGAGAGAGAGAGAGAAAAAAAAAAAAAAAGCGCCGATAAGGCCAAGCGTCCTCGCCCTCGGCGGAGCCGCCGGTGGCATCGCGCGTAGTGCTGCCGTCCTCCTCGGGACATCGCTCGGCGACAAACTGCGCGCAGCGGCCGCGGGGGGGGCGGCGGGCGGCGGATCGGCTCCTCCACCTCATCGAATGCCTCCTCGCCCCTCCCAGGCTCGCTCATCCAAGCCGACCCTCCCGCCTCCTTGGGACACCACGGGACACCGCGGGACACCACAGCGATCTCACTATCCATCTCACTATCGATCTCATTATCGTTCTCACTCAACGGGACACCACGGGACACCACGGGACACTTGTCGATCTCACTATCGATCTCACTATCGATCTCACTTTGTGGGACACCACGGGACACCTCGGGGCACCACATCAATCCCAATATCGATCTCACAATCGATCTCACTATCGATCTCAGTATCGATCTCACTCAACGGGACACCACGGGACACCACGGGACACCACGGGACACCGCGGGACACCGCGGGACACCGCCGGACGGACGGAAGGACGGGCGGGCAGGGGAGAATCATTTGTCTCGACTTCGCCCTAGCAACGGCGGACACCACGGGACACCGCGGGACACCGCGGGACACCGCGAGCCACCGCCGGGCGGGCGGGAGGGGGAGAATCATTTGTCTTGACTTCGCCCTAGCAACGGCGGACACCACGGGACACCACGGGACACCACGGGACACCGCGGGACACCGCGAGCCAGCGCCGGACGGACGGGCGGGAGGGGGAGAATCATTTGTCTTGACTTCGCCCTAGCAACGGCGGACACCACGGGACATCACGGGACATTACGGGACACCGCGGGTCACCGCGAGCCACCGCCGGACGGGCGGGCGGGAAGGGGAGGATAATTTGTCTCGACTTCGCCCTAGCAACGGCGGGTTCATTCCCTTGCGCGCCCACGCAGCTTCGCCTCGCCCGCACGCACCAAACGAACGAAACGAAACGATTGCCCGGTTGGGGGTCTTCATTCCACTGCGATCTCACCCCCAAACCTCCGATACACACAGATCGCTCGTTCACAGAGGGCGCACGTGAATGATCAGCCAGTGCCTGTGCAGCATGGAGAAGTGTATAGTGATGGCTAGTATACATACACATATATATATATATATGTACATGTATGACATCACAATTTTGTACCACATATCTTGCACCGCGTCGATTGCATTAAGCAACCGGCACGCGTAGCTTGCAACTCGTATGTTTCGCCACAAATCCGCCGCCACCGTGCCTGCATAGAGTGGGCGCTTTAGAACCTGGGCCTGCACGGGAACGGAAATAACCATTCGAGAATTACATTACCGAGTAACCCCACATACATATAATATGTCTGAGAATGATGCAGGTGGCCGTTGCTTCGCCGATCCCGTTGGTGGCGCCTGTGAGCCTTTGGAACCTGAGTACCCTGAGGTGGTCCATAGGCCCTGGGACACCGACACCCCTTAGCACCCTCTATGGTGTCGAAAAGATGCCACGCCTTCTGTGCCCTGGACGACTGGCGCGCATAGCGGCCGCGGTGAGAGACCACCCCCTGCGCCCCCCCCCTGTGGTGTCGAGAGTGCCACGCCTGCTATGCCCTGGACGACCGAGTTCACATATCGAGCAGTCTGAGCCCGCAAGAGCCAGGGTGACTACAGATCATGATGATGATGATGATGATGATGATGATGATGATGATGAGGATGATGATGATGATGATTATGATCATGATCATGATGATGATGATGATGATGATGATGATGATGATGATGATGATGATGATGATGATGATGATGATGATGATGATGATGATGACAGCGCCCCGCCCCGCTTGCGTGCCCCTGTGGCCTCGAGAAAGGGCCGCGCGCGCTAAGCCCTGGGAGGCGTATCCCCCTGTGCACCCTGTATGGTGTCGAGAAAGAGCCAGCCCTGGTATGCCCTGGACTGCGGGCACGCACAGCGGCCGCGGTGAGAGACCACCCCTTGCGCACCCCCATGGTGCCGAGAAAGAACCACGGCTGCTGTGCCTGGACGACCGGCGCGCATATTGGCCGCGGTGAGAGACCACCCCTTGCGCACCCCCTATGGTGTCGAGAAAATGCCTCGCCTGCTACGCGCTATGCCCTGGAAGCCTGGCGCGGATACGGAGACCACCCCCTGCGCACCCCCTGTGGTATCGAGAAATTACCACGCCTGCTATGCCCTGGACGCCTGGCGCGGATAGGATGCCCTGGACGCCTGGCGCGGATAGGGAGACCACCCCCTTGCGCACCCCCTATGGTGTTCAGGAAGCGCCATGCCTGCTATGCCCCGGACAACCAGCGCGGATAGGGAGACCACCCCCTGCGCACCCCCTATGGTATCGAGAAAGTGCAACGTTACCACGCTTTGCGAGCCCGCAAGGGAGGTGAGTGAGACGCGGGTGCGACGCGGCAGGGAAGAAAACCATAACCCCACGAAGCATGTGGGGAACTTGTTACAGGTCGCTCTTGGAAGCCTTGGTGTGACGAGCTCGTGGGCGTCTTGAGAGGGACGGATGCGTGTTATCCGCGGTTGGGCCCGCTACGCCCCTTCCCTAGGACCCCTCGCAGTAGGGCTCGCCCCGCCAGAAATTCAGCACTCGTGGTTCGCTCTTTCCGTCACGTGGTGCGTTTGGGAACCTTGGCGTTAAAATCCCACCAGCCCTCTGGGTGTAGGTGGTCTCGGGCGGTTTCTGTTCCAACCCCCTTCTTTCCCTTCAGGGAAGGGTTCGCCCCTCCCCCTACCCCTCCCCTGGACCAGGATGGGGGGTTTCACGAGGCGCTGGAGCATGCGAACTTTGCCACTGGGGCCTTCGGTGGAGTTCCCTCTGGGCCACGGAACGCTGTGCTGGGTGCGGGAAACGCATGTGGACACCGCCACTGGGGTTTTCGGTGGAGCTCCCTCTGGGCCACAGAACGCTGTGCTGGGTGCGGGAAACGCAGGTGGACACCGCCACTGGGGCTTTCGGTGGAGCTTCCTATGGGGCCACGAAACATTGTGCTGGGTGGGGGAGACGCATGTGGACACCGCGGGCCTAACGTGGAGCTCCCTATGGGGCCACGAAATGCTTTATTGGGTGGGGCGGCGCACGTGGACACCGCCACCGGGCCTTAGGTGGCATTCCCCATGGGGCCACGAAGCGCGGTGCTGGGTGCGGGGACGCATGTGGACACCGCCTGAGGTGGAGCTCACCATAGGGCCAAGAAGCGTTGTGCTGGGTGGTGGAGACGCGTGTTGACACCGCCACAGGAGCTGTAGGTGGAACTCGATATGTGGCCAGGAAACACTGTGCTAGGGAGGGGAGAAACATGTGGACACCGCCGCTGGGGCCTTAGGAAGAGCTCCTTATGGGGTCACGAAGCGCTGTGCTGAGTGGGGGAGACGCAGGTGGACACCGCCACAAGGGCCTTCGGTGGAGTTTTCTGTGGGGCCACGACGCGCCGTGCTGGGTAGGGGAAACGCATATGAACACCGCCACTGGGACCTCAGATGGAGCTCCCCATAGGGCCACGAAACGAAACGCTGCGCTGAGTGGGGGAGACGCATGCGGACACCGCCACAGGGGTTTCAAGTGGAGCTCCCTATGGGGCCTCGGCGCGCCGTGCTGGGTAGGGGAAACGCATGTGGACACCGCCGCTGGGTCCTTAGGAGAAGGCTCCCTCTGGGGCCACGAAGCGCCGTGCTGGGTAGGGGAAACGTATGCGGGCACCGCCATCGGGGCCTTAGGTAGAGCTCCACGGGCGGGGGAAACGCATGTGGACACCGCCACTGGAGCCTTAGGTGGAGCTCCCTATGGGAACACGAAGCGCCGTGCTGGGTGGGGGAGACGCCGCCGGACACCGCCGCTGGGGCCTTAGGTGGAGCTCCGTATGGGGCCACGAAGCGCCGTGCTAGGGAGGGGAGAAACATGTGGACACCGCCGCTGGGGCCTTAGGAAGAGCTCCTTATGGGGTCACGAAGCGCTGTGCTGAGTGGGGGAGACGCATGTGGACACCGCCACTGAGGCCTTCGGTGGAGCTCCCTCTGGGGGAACGAAACGCTGTGCTGGGTGGGGGAGAAGCATGTGGACACTGCCACTGGGGCCTTAGGAGGAGCTCCCTATGGGGCCACGAGACGCCGTGCTGGGTGGGGGAAGCGCATGTGGACACCGTCATTGGGGCCTTAGGTGGGGCTCCCAATGGGGCCACGAAGCGCTGTGCTGGGTGGGAGAAACGCATGTGGACACCGCCACTGGGGCCTAAGGTGGAGCTCCCTATGGGGCCACGAAGCGTTGTGCTGGGTGGGAGAGACGCATTTGGACACCGCCACTGGGGCCTTCGGTGGAGTTCCCTATGGGGCCACGAGACGCCGTGCTGGGTAGGGAGAAACGCATGTGGACACCGCCACTGGGGCCTTAGGTGAAGCTCCCTCTGGGGCCACGAAACGCCGTGCTGGGTGGGGGAAACGCATGTAAACACCGCCATTGAGGCCTTAGGTGGAGCTCCTTATGGGGCCACGAAGCGCCGTGCCCACGAAACGCCGTGCTGGGTGGGAGAGACGCATGTGGACACCGCCACTGGGACCTTCGGTGGAGCTCCTTATGGGGCCACGATTGACGACGAGGACACGCGCAAGGCAGAGGCAGGGATGGGATGGGGGAGGCGGGGGAGGAATTGAAGACGGAGGGAGGGAGGGAAGGAGGGAACGCGGGGACCGTCTCATCAAAACGAGTACCCAACACCACAGGATGGTTGCGAAAAAAAACAGGACGTCGCTTGTATGGCTTAGATCGGGCGTGTCCCTCTACAGGGGGACATCGGGCGAAACAAAAATCAATAGCCAAACATATTCGAAAATAGTCAATAGAATGGTCCAAACATCGTCCCCAGACTGTTTTTTATATCATTTTTGGATATTCCCCCTGTAGAAGGACTGGCCCGACTCACCTCAAGGCGTGGTCACCACACCGTCTGGGGGCCCCTGGGATATACATGTGGCTGCGTGGCCGCCCCACCGCTCCGAAGGAGTCCAGAACGCGATGGCGGGGATCCTTGGGAATCCGATGTCACGAACACGTTTAGAGGTCAAGAACACGAGCCCAACAGTAGTCACCCCGACACGTGAAGTCGTTTAGTAAACGCGCAAAGAAGGAATCGAACAAGGCAGGGCTGTTTAGTAAACGCCAACTGTCCGGTCCGGGTGGTTTTTCCCCTTGAACGTTGCACCATCGCAGGAGATCGCAAAAGAAGCCGTGGACCCCATCTTCCAGCGTCGCTTACCCGGCCAAAGATCGATATGCGAAGGCGGAGGCGCCCATGAAAAAAAAGACTGCAGCGCCCGGATCTCGGGGCATGGGACGTGTGTTCGCCGTGCGTGGCGGCCCGCCTCGCACCGGTCTCCCGAACGGCGTCCAGCCATGGCGACGAGGGCCCCCCCCCTCCCCCGGAAAGCGAACGTTTTCTGACTCGGCGTTTCGGCCCTGGGCGGAATGAGGGGGGTGGAGGGGGGGGGGGTCTGGCTCGGACCTCTGCTTCGTGCGACTGTGTGCAGCACTGCGTCCTGCGGGGGGAGGCTCCGCCTGCCCGAAACGGGCGCCGAAAGCAGCCAGGAGCTACTTCTTGGGGGGGGATGGGGGGTGCGAGGGCCCGCGCCGACCGACACAACAATGAATCGGAAAAAGATCACTGACCCAACCACCGTTGTCTCAAGTCGCCCTCCTCTGAGTATCCCGGGGATCTTGCCTCGGAGTCCAGACCGCGAGCGCATGGACGTGGGCATGTTCGCCGCTCGTAGCGTCCCCCCCCCGTCGCTCGTTGAGGGCATAGCGACTTCAGCGGTCCTTCGACTCGCGCTGGAGCGGCCTCGACTTGCTCCAAGAGATCTTTGGTTTGACCTGGATTTGCCAGGATCTGCTCAGTTTTATCTGCACGTGCGTTCGGGGGGTTGCTAAAGCTGCCTCTGACCCAAGGCGCCACCAGTTGTTGGCTCCATTTTGAAGCCTTTTGAGCCCTCTGGGCGTCGTGAAGGGCGCTCTGGGGGCCGTGGAGGTCTCCTTGGAAGTGCTCGGGGCACCCTCTAGCAACGCCCGACATCTGGCGTCCATCGCGCGCTCCCTCCCCCCCTGGATCCAGCCCCGCGGGCGCGGGGGCGACGAGTCCAGAACCACAGCTGCCACAGAGCACTTCGGCGCCATCTTTGGGGCCACCCTGTTGCCGCTTCCGCGGAAAGGGAGTGAAGAGGCGTGCAGTCAGACCTAGGACAGGACGAGCATCCTTCCTGAACAGCCGGCCACAACGAAGAGCAGTCCAAGGTACGCTTCCCCGGGGCGCACAAGAACAATCAAAACAAAAACACGGAGAACATCAGGGTACCCTTCCCGAGCCGACCTCGATCTTCTACCTCGGCCCTTCCTGTGCGCGAGGCCACCTCCAGGCTTTCGTGTGAGGGTCGGGCACGTCGCTTCACCTCCGTAGGCCGTGCCTTGATCTATCGCAGGTCGCGTGGCAGAGAGCCTCCCAGCCCTCTGCGATCATACTTTGTGATGCCATACCCCACCCTGGAACGGTGTAGCCCCATAAGACAGGCCACAGGGCATGTGCAATTGCGCGCTGGCCAAAACACAACGTCGGCGACGTGGTTTCCGGCAGTGGCATCGCACGACGACTGCCGAACGAGGGCGGGCGGGGGCTTGCAGCCGCAGCTCCACCTCGCCGCCCGTGCGCGGGTCCTCTGCCGTGGGCGCCCTGCCTCCCCCCGGGGCCCTGCCTCGCTGCTCCTCCGGTCACGCTCCTGTCCGGCCTCGCTTCCCTCCTGCTCCTGCGGCTGCTTCCTCTCCTCCTCCCGTTCCTCCTCCTCCTCCTCCTGCTCCTCCTTCTCCTCCGCCTTGTCCTCCTCCTCCTCCTCCTGTTCCTTCTCCTCCTCCTTCTCCTCCTCCTCCTCCTCCGCCTCCTCCTCCTCCTCCATCTCCGCCTCTTCCTTGTGCTCCTCCTCCTCCTCCTCGTCCTCCTCCTCGTATTCCTCCTGAGTTTCCTCCTCCACCTCATCCTCATCCTCCTCCCCTTCCTTTCTCACCTCCTCCTCGTCCTCCTCCTTCTCCTCCTCCTCCTCCTCTTCCTCCTCCAACCTCTCCTCTTCTTCCTCCTCCTCCTCCTCCTCCTCCTTCTCCCGTTCCTCCTCCTCGCGTTCATTATGTTCCTCCTCCTTCTCCTCCAACCTCTCCTTCTCCTCTTCTCCTCTTCTCCTATGTTCCTCCTACTCCTACTCCACCTCCTCCCATGCCTCCTCCTCCTCGTCCCTTTCATCCTCCTCCTCCTCGTCCTCCTCCTCCTACTAATACTACTCTTCTCTCTCCCCCATCCGATCTCCTTATACATAACTCCCCACTGTCGCACCCCGAGACGTGTCCGTAGGGCGGGCCGGGCGTTTCGCCTGAGACTTCCTCACGACTTATGATCCTGAGGCTTGAACTTTGCAGCAACTTAAAATTAGGGAGCTCCCCCCAGCACCGCGCACATTCGTCTTAAACGTTTGCAAGGCATTCGCTGATTGAGGGCGGGTGGTTCTCAAAATGTGGCTCTCGCCTAAGCGTCGCGCACACTCGTCTTAAAACTTTGCACTATGTTTACTGATGGTGGGCGGTACGTTTTCAAAAAGGTGCTCTCGCCTCAACGCCGCGCGCATTCGCTCTAAAAGTTTAGAAGGGCCTCGCGGATGGAGGACAGCTCCGTGTCAAAATATGGTCTCACCTTCGCCCCACGGACATTCGTTACTAAATTTTGCGAGGATTGCACGGACGGAGACGGGTCAACAGTTTGAAGGAGATTCACAGATGGGGGCGACTCTGTTTCAACGTGCAGCTCTCGCGTTAGCGCCGCGCAGATTCGTCTCAACAAGTTGCGTCAGCTTCACGGTTGGGGAGGTTGCTTGTTCTGTTTCAGACCGTTGTTGTTATCCAAGCGTCGCACACAGTCGTGGTTTTAAAATTGAAGATGGCTCTGTTTCAAAATGTAGCTCTCGCCTGCGAGCGGCGTACGTTCGTTGTAGAAGCTTCGGTCTGTTGGACGTATTATAATGGTGGGCTGTCCCGGGAGTAGTGTTCTGGCACTTTCTACGTAAAACAGTCGGGGTGCAATAAGCACGTTCGCTCGAGGTGTTGAAGTCCCAGGAACTTCCCGCACAACTATGGATTGTCAGGAAGCAATCGTCACATTGATCTGCGGCATTGAGTTCTAAGGAACTATGTGCTGGCACGATGGAAAGGGGTCTCAGGCGATTGTCTTCCAACTGAAAACTTCGGGAAGTGCAGGAAAGAAAAACATTTTACGGACCTATGAAGGGGGAACGTGAAGGGGGCATGCCTTGCAACATCGTTGGTGCGTCTTGGGTTTACACTGGTCCTTGTCCTCTTCCTCCTCCCAATCCTCCTCTCCCTCCCCCTCCTCCTCTTGCTCCTGGTCCGCCAAATCTTGCTCCTCTGCCTCCTCCTCTCCTCCTGCCTCTTCTCCTCCTCGTCCTCCTCGTCCTCCCCTCGTCGTGCTCATCCTGCTCCTCTCCTCCTCCTGCGTCTCCTCCTCCTCCTCCTCTCCTGCTCCTCTTCCTACCCCACCTCCTGCTCGTTCTCCTGCTCCTCCTCCTGCTCTTCCTCCTCCCGCTTCACCTCCTGTTCCCCTCCATCTCCTGTCTCCATCCAACGCCTGTGCCGCCCCTTCCTTTTTATCGTGTTCTACTCCTCTTCTGCTCCACCTCCTCGCCTTCTTTCCTTCCTCCCCGCTCACCGCCTTTTCCTCCCTCTTCTCCCATCATGCTTCTCCTTGGAGCCCGACGGACGAGGGTACTCTCACATTGAAGCTCGGAGGCTCCCCCACCAGATGGCCCACGCCACATGGACGGGCGGTAAAATTAGCTCTCCAGTTGCTCTTCCTCCTTCTAGTCACCTCCCTCGCACCTCGTTCTTGCCCCTCCCTCCTCTCCTCCTGCCCTCCCTCCCTGTCATGAACTTCCTGTTGCTGGCTGGCCTCCAACTACTCTTCCTCCTATGTCCTAGATGTCCCTTCATGCGACAATCGCACTTGCTCGGACTGTCAAGTCAACACCGTCATGTGCGCTCCGTTCACGGTAACCACCAGACAATTCTTATGCGCATGTCCCTTTCCGTAGTCCTCATTATGGACATTGTCTTAGTCTTGGTCCTCGTCCCTGTTCACATTTCATCGGGGCCACGTTTTCCTTCTTCTCGTGGTCATCATCTTCGCTCTAATCGTCCGCGTCATCCTCCTCCCCGTCTTTATCATCCTAGCCCACCTCGCCCTGGTCCTCGCACGGCACCTCCGACGCCCAGACCACTAACGGATGGATGGTGCAAACTCCAAAACCCTTTGTCATCGTCCCCCGGGTCCGGTCTTTTAAGGCGCCTTTTTTGTAACTGAGAGGGGTCCGGTTTATTAGGGCGCTTTCCGTGGATTGGAGCTTAGGGGGTCTTGTGTATGAATGCGCCCCCTCGAAGAGGGGGTCCTATTAGGTCGCATTGGAAGGGGGGTCTGTTTTTTCCAGGGGAGGGGTCTATGAATAAGCGATTTGGAGTAGCCCACTGGCCCTGGAGCTCTCCAGCCCTCCTCTTGGCCTGGCTCGTTGCACCCCGGGCTCGTTCTCTGGTGTCCCCCGGTGGCCCTGCCTGCGGCCACACCTCTGACAGGGAGAAGCCGCCGACACACTGCAGGCTCGCACGGCGTCGGCGCGCGCAGCAGTTCCGCGTCGAGCGTTCGACCTCGAACCGATCCCGGCCTCGATCGGGGGGGGGGGGGAAGGGCCCAGGCGCACGGAGGGGCCGTGCCGAGAGGGAGCCGCAGACAGAGGCCGAGGAAGGAGGGGGGGAGGGGGGAGGGGGGAGGAGGAGGAGGAGGAGGAGGAGGAGGAGGAGGAGGAGGAGGAGGAGGAGGAGCCCAGCGTACCAGGTCTGTCTGGCAGAGAGGCGGCCGCTAGGGCGCCTCGGGAGGCGGCGAGGGCGCGCCTCGAGTGTTGAAGCTGAAGTGCTGCGCTCCCAGCGACGCGACGTTGGTCGGCGGAGCCGCTTTATAATTCGGGAGGGCAGAGCAATGTCTCGGAACGAGAGGCATGATGTGGTGACGGTGCGAGAGAGGAGCAGGGGAGGCGCAAGCAGCAGCATGGGCAGAGCTCAGGAGCGAAGGACAGGAGGGGGGAGGGCCGAGGAAAACGGCGCCAGGAGAGGCGACGGGCGAAGCTGGAGCCTGGGTGCAGGGCTCGGGGCTGCAAGAGAGCGACGGGGTGGGGTCGGGGAAAGGCTCGGCAGGGAGAGGCGTGGCCAGGGCGGCCATCGGAAGGGCGACGGACGAGCGCGGGGGAAAAGAAACAGCAGGCTGCTCATTTTCCGAAGCACACTCAGAGGGCAACGGTGGGAGCGTCATCGGAGCCGTCGGCGACACTGACGGGGAGCGCATCTTCGGAGAGCGCGTGGAAATCGGAGTTGGGGATCGCGCCGAACATCGAGCAGCCACCAGATTCCCAGGATTTCGTCCGACACGTGGCGACTGCGAGCCCGAACGCGACAACGGGACTTGCGATCTAACGCCGACGGACCAGCGTCCCGAATCACGGCAACGTTCTTGTGGCGACGGCGAGCCCGAACACGACAACCGGACTTGCATTCTAACGCCACTGGAGAGATGCTCCTCTTCGAGGCAGTGAGCACGTGGCGACGTGTAGCCCGAACACGACAACGGGTCTTGCGATCTAACGCCTGGGCCCAGCTGGGGCGTCCCGAGGCAACCAGCACATGGCGACAGTGAGCCCGAACACGACAACGGGACTTGCGATCTAACGCCGATGGGAGGCGACGAGGCAAGCGAGCCCGAAGACGAAAGCGTCACTGGCGGGGACGGCGACACACAAACACAGGGCGAAATTGGGGCCGGCGGCGACAATGATGAGCAGGCGGACGCCATCCGTGAAGTTCTCAACGCCGTTGATGGAGAAGGGGCCGCACTCAGAGTTGAAGTGGAGCGCGTCATCGAAGGGGGCGCGGAGGAAGGTGGGGTGGAGGTCGCCGAAGCCGAGGGAGAGCACGTAGCTGGCGGCGTCGCTGGAGGCTGAAGTTCATCATCAGCGTCGGAGTCCGACGGGAGCGTGGCGATGGCCGTGGAGACGGTGGCCGTGTCGCTGTCCGACGACGAAACGGCAGGGGTGAGCCGTGGAAACGACCCCGAGGATGAAGAGGACGAAGAGCTGCGGATGAGGTAGTCCCGTCGGCCGAGCTGCTCGCGGTCGATCTCCGAGCACTTCAGCGGTGACGCGAGCTGCATCGAACGTACACCAGCGAGAGCGCAGCTGCGGAGGAGGGGCGGGGACAGGGGCCACACGGGCGCCAGCCTCGCTTCGTTGTACATGTTGTAAGCGGCCGCCATCGCCGAGAAGGTGGCCAGCGAGGGTTCAGATAGGCCCCATCTGGTCATCCACGGGAGCGGGAACGGTCTCGCGAGAGCCTGTCGAAGGGCACGGTGCATGACAGGGCATCTCGCGTAGTGTCGCAACGAGTCGAGCTTGCCGAGACATCCAAATACGCAATGCTTCTGCCCGCCAGGTGAGATGATACGGGCCGAAGTCATCCAGCCATCAGACCAGGTGCGCAGGACGGCCATGGCCCACGAGCACGGGCAGCGGGCGAGGACGCCCTTGCACACACCCCAGTCGATGTTCGATAGGAGGCCCGCCGAC